AATCGGCCGAGCTGGATACAGTATGGACCTGGTAGTTCGTTAGGGAGGTTTACAAATTCGACATATTGAGACACATTGCCTTACACTGTCTTTGCTCACTAGACAAGAAGCCTTATATCTCGGCGGCAGAATTTTCAAGAACAACCGGTGGACGCCATTTTTGGCGTGTTTATCATTACACTTTGTCTTGGTCCGATGGAAGTGACTAGAGCTCATGCTACTTCGGCAATCAGATTCCACGTTGAGGCTACGGTACACTTCACCGTAGGTTGTGGCGATTGTGAATGAAGTGTTTCTTGCCTCAAGTCCCTTGCCCCAAATTTTGTATCCTTCAAAAATACACATTTAGCATTCTTCGTCCGTGATTTAATGACTGCAGAAACACTCTGGGAGCATGCCGATTGTCTGTTCATTTGGTGTGGAAGCAAGTCTGACTGATCAGCGGTTTTCACTGACCCGAGATAACTGTGCTGACTCTTTGGATTGTTGTTCTTGATTGCGGAAGAATATCCTGTGGACGAAGTGCCCGGTGTACCAAAGTTTCACACATATCCTCCATGATGCGGATATAATTCAGCGTTTTGCAGCTTCTTTCATTATGAAAAGTTGATAGAACAAAAATAGGTTCCATTATTTCTATCTGCAAAACGACTGACTAGCATTCCGTCTCCTTTCCGTTGAAGTCGCAGTCATCCTGGTATAACCGATACCTTCCTTTGTCCGGGGCAAGGTTCGTTACCTCCGGGTTTGGAAGGTTGCTGGCTCTAAACGGTTATAACTCCATTTTGTACTGGTCCACCCCCTCTGCAATTATGCTGAATGTATGCCACACCTTCAATCGTCCATTCGAGGTTAAACCCGAATAAAACGGGAATTCGTTCAAACTGAAATTTTCAACAAGCCAACTGGGTGTTCCCTTTTACTAAAGGATCACTAGCGTGTTCAACTGGAAGCGACATTAGATTTTCCTCTGTTTACAAATTTTTGAAGATGGTAACCTTAGTTTCCGTTACTCTGTTTGTGGCTGAGAAACCCTCCTCTATGAAGTAGCCACAGTGGTAAATATTTTGTCAAAAGGCACAGAACGCGAAAGGATAAGCAAATTTAGGCAAACTTGATACGTATTTATGTAAACACAAAGTATACAGTTTAAACGTCACACACAAATGACAACAGCTATCATACTTCTGTGAACTCTTCTCTCAGCTTATTTTGAAAAACGCATTGGACCCGAGGTTCGTTCGTGTCAGATATTGCCATTTATACATATTCTCGCCATGGTCGGTACTAGGACTAGGGTCACGCTTTCGTGAGGCAATCGTGTTGACCATTGTGCCACTGGTTACATGTTAGACATGACTGAATCATCTATGTGGGCGTGCAGCCTCCAGTCCAATGTTTTTTGAACGGAATGACCGGAAAGTTTATGGGAATGCTACATCTGTGATCGATTGTGAGTGATATTCATATTAGATGCTGGGTATGTGATTAGAATCTTAAGTGGCGCAGCGCAATCCACACGTATGGACGGTTATGTTCAAGCGTCCACTGGCTCCAGTAATTGTCACGGTCAAATCCGGAAGTAGATACTGTCAACCATGATCGGTTGCGCTGCATGAAATTTCCACCTTTGTAATTAAAACCTAAACTTCCATTTCATCAGCCAGTCCAGTCAATACCACCGATACGTAGACGATATATTTATCGTAGCCAGTTCGGATACCAATATGCACACAGTACTCGACACATTCAATCGCGCCCACCAGTCAGTTAAGTTTACACTTGAGGAGGAGATCGGAAACGAGATATCTTTCCTAGATGTTCGTTTACATCGACGAATAGACGGAACTATTCAACGCAGGATTCATCGCAAGAATACATGGACAGGTCAGTACACAAACTTTCACAGTTTTGTACCCTGAAACAGAAGAGAAATCTAGTGCGCTGCCTGACTGATAGAGCATACAAAATTTGTTCAGCGGATACGTTAGAAAGTGAACTCGAATTCATAAAGAACGTACTTCATGATAACGGCTACCCGGAACGATTTATCACCAGAAATATGATCAGAATATCACCTAAACCTGAAGTGCATGACGTAAGAAAGAAGCCTGTGTTTATTCGCGTGCCGTTCAAAGGTGACAATGCCGCAGAATGGCTGACAAATAGGCTCAACCAGACAATTAGCAGGACCTACGCTACAGCTGAACTCCGTATTCAATTCTCCACATACCCAATTCTCAGATTTTATAACAAAGATAGACTGACAGTTCAGACCTCATCTATGTGTATCTACTCATTCACTTGTTCCTGTGGAGCAGGTTATATTGGTCGAACGTCAAGACAACTTTCGAAACGAATCCGAGAACACCATCCACGGTGGCTGGGGCACGGGGAATCACGATCGGTCAACAGTGCTATCCTCGCTCATCTGGTCGAAAGCGGGCACCAGGTGAAAACTGATCAAGCCTTCAAGGTAGTATATCGCGTACCAGGCAACTCATCAAAAGCGGTCCGAATTAGAACACTTTGTACTGCCGAGGCTATTGGAATCAGGCTGCTTGACCCGATATTATGTCACCAAAAACGGTTTGTTCAGGCGCTCCACCTACCATGGCCACAAATCCATCGGATCGATGGTCAACCTGCGCGGTCAAACCAATGGACAAGCGTGACGTAACCGACCAATCAAGCCATCGCCAATTGACTGACCAGTGACCTAGTTTCTCTGTAATAAGTCTGATCGATATCTCGATCTAACTCTATTAACTCCTTATATAATTGTACCGGCCTGAAGATGAATTATCGAAAACATGTTCGCCTATATGTCTTTATTCTCATTATCGTAATGGGCATATTTGAAACGATAACGCTGTTCCTTAAAACTAACTTTTGTCGGTTTCACTAATTTTCTCTCAGTAACAACTTAAAATATGTCACACTGGTTAACAAGTTTTGTAATTCTAGGTGAAGGCAATTTTGATATTGGGTTGCTCTCCAAACAGACTGGTTAGATTATAAATGTTTCATTACCTCGTCAGCGCAAATTCGTGTAAATCGAGTGAACCATATTGGTGCCTTAGTTTGTACTTTAAAATGAAGGGTTATTGGAATTGAGAAACACATATCTGTTGAACGCTTTTCATGCACTAGTCATACCCAAAGAACATTGCTTGGTAATATCAAGCCTCTCAGAACGTCCAGATCAAATTAGTGATACACACGAAACGGAACAATCTACCATTCATCAAGGACATTTCAGAAACAGTTGTGGAGAACTCTGTTCCATTCGGAGTCATAGTGTCCCGAAACCGAAACTAACCGTTCGACGTTCACTTTGGAAGCAATGAACAGATGCACAGCGTGAAAACCACCAAAACTAATTACCAAACATTCCTGTGCAGAATGAACTCAATGGTACTTCGGTTGAATTGAGAAAAGAAAGAAAGGAAGGAAAAAGAACAAAAACGAAAGTGAACTTTTTCACATTTGCTCTGACATTTGAGTTCATGCGGTAAGCCATGACTTTCGAAACAATCTACACGCTTCATACGACGCTTCGTGCAAGCATTGTTGACTAGCACGTCTACGAAAAGCTTCCACGGTGAATAGCCGGTCTTGGGAACAAGCCAACGTCAACAATGAGTGTGCCATTGATAATTAATTTAGACACTTTTGTACATGCTAACTTCTTTAGAAACGTTCATTGCGATTGTCCGGTTAAGGAATACTTCGTTCAGCAGCTCTAGTTTGTGAAATTATAGGGATCTGTGGATAAAACCTGTGTGCATTAGTGTATGCTGTTTGGTCTAGTTCAGTAAATAAAATGATACGCGTAATATAGAATACAATTTACAATTTCAAGTGCATGGTTACCACTAAAACAATAACATGCTAACTTCTTTAGAAACGTTCATTGCGATTGTCCGGTTAAGGAATACTTCGTTCAGCAGCTCTAGTTTGTGAAATTATAGGGATCTGTGGATAAAGCTGTGTGTATTAGTGTATGCTGTTTGGTCTAGTTCAGTAAATAAAATGATACGCGTAATATAGAATACAATTTACAATTTTAAGTGCACGGTTACCACTTGTTGATGATTATGTGGGCATATGTTTCGAGCTCAGTTGATTCAGTTCGTTCCCAAAAGTCACGGCGAAGTTTTCATTTGTCCGGCAGTATCAAGGCATGTTTTCGGGCTTTACTGGGGTCTAACCATTGTGTAGACAGTTCCCTCTTGAGAGGTCCAATTTATTTGTCGTCGCAGTTGAAGATTTCGATTCAAGGTTTGCGTTTATATTATTCGAAAGTCATTACCGGTGGTCAATATACCGCGTGTCTCAGCTAGTAGTCGACGTCGTTTCTTAAAACACTCTGGTTGCAGAAATGCGCAGTAAACTGATGGCGACTGAAACTTCTATATTCTGTTGGGGAGCCCAAGTTCGTGTTAGTGAGATGGGTATCACGAGGACCCTTATTTGTGTATCGCTTACCACGGCTCTGTTTTTTGGGGGGCTCCTTAAAATTCCAGATGTTGCAACAAAAATTTCGAAATCACTGCCATCTAGTCATTTGACCAGTAGACTCTATTCCGCTTGTTTTATGGATGTTCATATTGGCCAAATGTGTATTGTACCTTGGCTGGAATTTGTAATTTTGAGGACACCGTCTAAAGTCAGGCAGGTAAATAAATGCACTGATAAAAACAAGTTACTTCAAAGAAGGATATTATCCACTGGTTTGTCCCAGTGACAGTGACTGTTCATCTTTGATTAAAATTCGACATTCTCAATACCGATATAACCGGACAAGTGGAAAGCGTTTGATTGGACCTATTCTTCAGTTGTATTACTTATAAGTAGTTTGGCCGAAAGTTGACGATTTATTAAGAGACCCAATTGCGGGAAATCTGGACTTCGGCTGGATTCGAACGAGTGACAGGAATAACATTCCCAAACACTGTAACTAAGTACCATAATGTGAAACTTTTGAGCTTCGGTGTGGCTTCGTAGCTCCACTGGCAGAGCATCTGCCTCGTTTGAGGATGTTGTTTCTGTTGCTGGTTCAAATCCAGCCGAAGTTCAAAATTTTTCGCAATTGGTTCTCTTCTATATCTCAATTGTATTACATCTGGACGATTTTCCTACTCAGTCTTCACCGTCTTATCTTGCAATTAGGGTAACTTCAGTTCAAATCGAGTAGAACAAAAGCTTCATTCTTGGTACCTACTACGAAACTATCCTAAACATTTAAAAGGGGTTCTAATTCCCAATAAAAATCGGAAATAAGCTTTAATCAGAAGACAAAAGTTAATATTGTAAAACAAATTAGTCAGGTGTTTAATATGCTTCTCAATATAATAGTTCGTTACAATAGTTTAGTTGGTGAAAATTGTGTAGCTTCGCCGATTCTTCTAGCGCCTTCCATAAAATGCGATGGAAAACAGCTTGTGAATCCGTAACACTCCGAACTTAAAAGGCCTTTCCTAATCAATTTATGATGAAATCCCAGATATCCTTCTGCCAGAGTGATGGTTTTTTGAATATATGCCTGAATTCATGGCATAAACTCACCAAGAATCGGGGGGTTTAGAGATTTAATAATCCAAGTGTAGGCATATTGTTCAAAATACAGCAACCTTAAATGTGTAAATTTTTTAAGCATCGCTGTGATGATCCGTATTTTTCAAATGTGGTTGAACTTATGCTTAACTGTTTTGTGATGTTCTGATATAAATTTCTTGCCAATCTGTTCTAGTGTGTAACACTACATTGCCACTCCATTAACCGTATAATTCTGTAAGCAAAAATTTTTCATATTTTTCAATGGTCACTAATGTCCTTGGTCATAAAGGTACCGCCTATTCGTAAGGGGTGAAGCCTTCATTTTTTTGAGAAAAGCGGTCAACTTGGCATCCAGTAGACTTGATTGCAATTTCATCTTTGCCGTTTCTGTCAATGGTACTCCTTAGCATCGACGGTCTCAGCAGGTTGTTGTCTTCCTAATCATTGACTTCCAGCTTCACTTTTGAGCTGATCGGGTGCAGTCTTAAAAACAACCTACTTACATATCCAGATTACCTCAGTCGTACTATCATCAAACGTCTAATTGGTTGATGCTGTCTGTAATCTTATCAACGATGCTTGTTTTCAGCATGTAAGACTGCCTTGCCGGAAGTGCATTCAGTTTGTAAACAATTGACACCTGTTGATTTCTCGCGATTTCCTTGTTAGCATATTCAGCAAAAAGTATTGCAATAAAGCAAAACTTCATTGTCCAATTCTACGTTCTTGCTGCGACGCTGCCGTTCACCCGGAATTCCGTCCACGCCGAGGTTCCATTAGAGTCAAGTGCACTTCCGCCTGCTTCGGTATGTTTAGCTGACGCTATCTGTCGTGGATCTTCGCTCGCTATTTCTCGCCCGTTGGTCAACTTCGCTGAATCATGACCCGTTCGGTCGTTTGTATTGTCTGCAATCCATCTGCTGGGACATTTGGCCATAGCTCACCACAGCGTCCAGATATTTCACAGAGTGTTGGAATAATCGCGTCTCCAACTCGATCACCCATCACAGTTGTTTACAGCTGTTGGTTTCAGAACAAGCCAGTGGCGAACAACCCTTTTTCGATGACTCTAAAGACATGATTTATTGTCGTTCGAACCTTTAACTTCTAAGTTGTTCTGACCTAGATCGCATGCACGTCCAATACAGTCGCACTTACGAAAGGTCGTGTAACTATGTCAGCCCATTTCTCAAGCTGGCTTACCCCTTCCACTGTGTATTCACCATGTCAGCTATTATTCCGGCACACTTGTTGTCCATTATAAATTGTATTATCATGTCTGAGTCCTACTGGGAAACTGTTAGCTCTCCTAGTTCCCCGAATCCAATCTTTGGAGAAAATAACGCTATTGCACCATCTGTTATGGTTTAAACGCAGTTTCAACCCCATGATTGCAGATGACGGATGGCTAGGTTTTTTCCAAGTCAAGGTGTGTATTACCACGGGTTGAGCACGTGTACTGGATATGAATATCTTTTAAACGTTGTCCTCTTTTTATTCTCGTGACAAGCTTTTGGGTTCCATAATACTCTACCAAGGATAAAACAAGTGCGCACTAAGGCGGGGTGACTTCAGAGGATAGAAACACTCAGAGTTCCTATGTTTCATGTGATAACCCATCATAAAAAGGCCTATGGACGACAACTTTTCGCTAGAGTTTGACGTGAAATATTTCAACAGATGCAGAGATTTTTTCGGCATAATTTGAGGGCAAGGCTGCATGAAAATGACAGACTTTGCCACACAACCCTACTCGATTTCAATTGCCTTCGATATATACTCACTCGACAACCAATAGGGCTTCAACGTATCCACCAAGACTAGCCTGCAGCGTTTAGATTTCAGCTAGTTGCAACTGGACCACGAACACTTCAGCACTCTTAGACAAAACTAATAAAGTTATTACGTTACCACAAAAAAATCTACCAGTAGGCTGAAACTGCAACACTAATATGGTTGTGTAGTTTGATGTAAAAGCTTTTGAGTACGTCGAACTGCATAGAAAAGACTGGTAAAAAAAGATGTTAACCAACAAGTAACGACAGTTACATTCGTCAGCTATTTCGGTGATAATTATGGTTGTGAATTATCGGACTGCTAGCATTAATTATCTGACCGTCATCGGGGCAAAGGGCTCGCTGAACTACAGCTAGTAATGAAATAGTTCTGTCATGTCCGGTAACGTGAGAATTTTTTATTTCATGTTTCTATACTTGTCATTGGGTAGACGTTTGTTAAGCGATCATCATAAAACTCCAGCTGTACGCGAAACCTCTACTGATGTCAGAACTGTTGTTTTGAATAGTGGGCGGATGAAAATTCTTCTGATTCGTCCCAGGTATCCACAAAGGTATCGTGCTTCTGCACTCGAGTGTCATATGGCAGACGGGCTAAAGTGACAGAACTCTGTACATCTGTGTATGCATATTCCAGACAAAGGTATTGTCGACAGGATTACCGCTTGTGCAACAATCCTGTAAAAGATATATTAACTTGCAATACTGTTGTCAGTGATCTCCTGCATACACACTTCACGTGTGAAGCTGAACATTCATCCAGAGATTCACTATACAATATTATCTTG